TGATGCTCATTCAGAGATTAAGCAGGTATTCAGCACAAAGAACTCATCACCACTCCAGCAAGTTTTTATCCTGCAAGGAGCAGATGTAGCTCTCATAGAACCTGTATTCCACAACCAAAATGATCCGTGGTAGTTTAATGCTAGCAGCATTGCTTGGTGCATCACCTGTGCCTCTCAATTCCCAAGTATTAACAGCAAGTATTAACTGTCTTCTCTATTATGAGTCTATACCTGAACAACATAGGGCTACGACCTGTAAAAACTGAAAAAGTGCAGGATGAACACTCCTACAGTGAGAAGAACACGCGTTGTTTTTTCTTATTGTTTGCTTCCTATAGACACAGGTAAAATTTATTTATGGCACATTACCTATGTAGATTTAAGGAAAACAATATTTGTTGAGGTGCCAAGTTGTAAATTGTTTTGCATATTTATTCTAACATTTGGGATGCAGATGCAAATCTATTCAAAAGCTAGTCAATGCATTTTTTTCAGTCTGTGTGGTGAATACTGAACTGGATTCCATTTTGCCCCCATTGCCAACAAATTTATCCACTATATATACGCATTATCATACAAATACGATCGGTCACAATAGCGTATCCTGCCCTCTAACAAACCAATGATCGCTACCTAAGGTACGGGCTCCAAAGTGTTGCATGTAAGGAACAAAATTCCTAATAGTATACCAGCAAGACAATGGTAGGAAAAAAAAATGTAGTAAACAGAAATAGTAAAGAAATAAAAAGATTTAGAGAGGCTTCTTTGTAGATCATTTATGGTTTATATTCCCTGTAACTCAGCTGCATGAAAGTATTTCCTTCCCATTAGTAAAAGGTTTATAAAACACAAAAGTTTTATTATATGAACAAGAACCACATTCTTCAAACACTGCCAAATTTGAGTCCCAAGAGGCAGCTTGACATTAATCAGCTGTTCAATACAACGTAAGTTTCAGACCATCTCTTACTAGTTTTTCCACTTCTGTTTTTCCTGTATTTTACATTCCTAATGTTGGTCTTCCACAAAATAATACCTGTTTTTTCATATCATCATTTCTATAGCTGACTTGCTATTAAACACCTAAATAAAAGTCAAGGGTTTTTTTCCTTCATTTAGTATCTCCCTATTATTTCATTCACAGGAATAGTAACAGCAATAACAGGTTAATCTTTCAGAAAGTCATAAGATCAATACTTACTCCTCAAACATAAACAATTTCATGAAGATGTTAACCTTAAAGACTACTAAAACCAAGACCATAGTTACCAGATCTGGGCAGGAATGACTAAGTTGTGGAAAGTGAAACTGACTGCACAACTGCTACAAAAAAGTGAACGACAAAAAGAGGAATGACAAAAAGAGGAAAGTACAAATATCTTTGCTATTAAATTAAAAAAGTAGAAAACTAGGAGAAACTAAAATGACCCTGTTTTAAGCAAAACAGAAGACTCCAGATACACTGCGTAAAACAAGAAAAATTTCCCACACGTTCAACAGTTAAAACTACAGACAGATAGCATTTATTTTTAGAAAAAACCATTCATTTCTTAATAAAACTTTTCCTTCCTAACTAATGGAGAGCCAAGCTGCTCTCCAAATCATATTGCGCATGGGGACGTGAAAAACACTAGTTTAGAAAATTGGTCTGCTGCCATTTGTTGACAAGAAAAGGCTGAGAATTGACACCAGAAACAGTAAATTCTTAAATTCTTAATTCTTACACGTAAGGTAAGGCTAATTTTCTAAATTGTGTTGTTCTCCTCTGCAACATGCCAAAATAAACAAGTTTTCTATCTTTTTGTAGTGCTTTCACTCAACATTCATACTAGAAGAGACTGGCTTGCTGACTACCAAAAGAAAGTCTAAGAGAAGAAAGAATTGTTGTCTCCAAATACCTCAGATAAAAAGAAAAGAAAAAAAATCAACAGTTTAAGCCAAGTAACAATGAGAGCACAAGAACAAAACAATAAGATGTCTATCAATACCTTTTCAAAAATTACTTGGACGTAATCATCAAGTTCTGAAGTAACTCGCCAGCAAGGGTAGCAGCAATGTACAATCCTAAGTAGCTCTAAGCTGCCTGAAAGAGTTATAACAGCATTTCAATAACAGCATTTTAAATAAAGCAACAGACAAAACCCACGTAGGTTTCTTCTAGTCCGATAATGCTGTCTTAAGTTTCAGGTAAGTTTTGTCTCAGCTTTATACGGAAGTAACTGAAAGTATAAAGTCCTTCCCTCCAAAGAGGGATGCATAACCTCCATTCAGAAGTCTAGATAACCATTAACGGAACTAGTAAGAAGGAACACTGGTACAGGCCTACAAATTAGTTTAAACACACAATAAAAATATATTTATAATTTTATATTTTAGAATTTAGAGGGATTGCATTGTGCGGATGACCTTTTTGCTGACTTTTTCAGCTCTAATAGTATTATTACTTAGACAAAGGGCATGAAGTTTTCAGACACAATTTAAGGATGGACTGGAATCTCTTAGCTGATCTTTTTGAGATGCAAGACTCAGCATGTTCTTCTGAATTCCGAGATGGTTGCGCAGCTCTCCATGGCAACCCAGGATGCACGCGCCCTGCAGCCTGCTGGCAAGAATCGAACAGGAACAGCACGTTAGGCTGAAAACCCTTCTAAAGCAGAAGGAAGGCCACAACTTCAAGGTGGGGTACAATTTGTGTCTTTGCGATCAGGTCAATAAAAGGATGAAGAATTCCTGAATAACTACGCCTCTCTGTTCAAAAACTGAATAAGCAGAAGGGGAGGAACTAGACCAACAAAGCCTACAGTCTAGTGGATAAATAAAATTAGGTTTGGCATAATTTAGTTTAGATACACCGTAACATTTCTAGCTCAAATTCTTGAAGAGTTTAGAGCTTGTTCCCTGTACACTCCACTCTTCACAGTATGTTTGCAGGTCCTTTTTTTCCTGTTCTATTAATAGCCTGTTTCATTCCTCCCCTTAAAATTTCATTTCCTACTTATCACCCTTATCTATCTTGTTAAGCACAACACAACAGATTAAAGGGATCTGATGTGATGTGTTTTTACTACTAGCTCGCTTTAGAGAAACACGGGTGATCCTTCAATCGGTAAAGGCTGGTTTGATAGGCACGTCTGGCTTTTGCTTCCAAAGAAGTGAAGTCGACGACTGCCAGGAGGGCGTCACTGCAAGCCACGACGCCGGGCAGCAGCCCTCCCAGGCTGACTGCACGGTAAGTTTGTCCGCCAACACCTCAGGCCGCTCAGAAGCCGCTCGGCGATAAA